GCCGCAAATTCCCCGTCTGGCAACGCAAGTGGTCGGAGGACAGCGCCGCTGCGCCGTCCTGCGCCTGGGAGGTCCGTGCGTGCGCGGATGCGTCGGATTCCCCGGGCGGGTGCTGCTTTAACAGGGCCTGGGCGGCCAGTGAGAAAATCGTATGTTCGGACAGCGAGGTTATACTTGCGCAGATGGTTGCCTCGCAGCTCGCGTTCGGCGCGCCCCCTGTTGGCAGCAGAGATGATTTGCGAAAGGCGTACCACCAAGTCAGCCGCTGCCGCTCCCCAGTGCGAGTCGTCCAACTTTTTTGGGACCCGCAGGGCCGGGAAGTAGTTGGGCGGGAACTTCTGTCGCAGGACTTCGGCACTGGAGGTGCCGTAACTAACTCCAATGTCGTGTTCCGCTGTCTACGCGACGTGCTGTGCCGGTGGTTTTTCATTAATGCTGGTAATTATTTTGATGATTTCTGGACGTGGGAACCACCGTGGTCCGCCTCGTCGGCTCGTTTCGTCCTCCGCGAGGTACTGAAAGTTTTAGAGTACGACACTAACGATGCGAAGAGCGCGCACGGCTTACAGCTGCCCCTCTTGGGGCTTGTATTCACCTCCCGCCAGGAGGGCCCCGAAGTCGGCAACCGCAGTTGCCGGCGCGAGCCGCTTGCTCTAGAATGCGAGGAACTCGCTGGGTCCCGCCCGCAGGCAGGGCCGGCGTCCACCTGCATCGGCAGGCTCGTGTTCGCCTCCCGGGGGCTGCAGGGGAAAGCCGGGGCGCACGCCCGGCGTCCGCTGTACGACGCCCTCGGGCACCTTGAGGCTGCCCAGCGCGCTGGCGAATGGCCTCCGCAGGCACAGGTGGCCCTCCGCTTGTGGGCGCACCTGGTGCGACGCGCGCGCCCGCGCACGCAGCCGCTCGTTTCGCCGGCCACTCCCGTGGCTATTTTGTATGGTGATGCAGCATTGTCGACCAGGCGCGCCGCAGCCATGCTCGTCATCCCCGGTGCGGCGCGGGAGCTCCGCGAGGGCTTCTCGGTCGTGCTGCCGGGCGCGGTGCTTGAACAGCTGGGGCCGTCCCATCAGCACGCCATCAACGGGGCCGAAGCGTGGTGGATCGCCAAAGCACTGGAGGTGTGGGGCGAGACAATCCGCTCGCATTGTCTTCTCTGCTTCGGTGACAACACCGCTGCGCTCGCCGGCTGCGTCCGGGGATACAGCGGGTCCCCCTACGTTGCATGCGTTGTCGGTGCCGTGCACGAGCTTCTCTGCCAGCGTGACATCCGGTGCTGGTTCGAGTATGTTCACACCAAGTCGAACCCGCTGGACGCGGCGTCGCGGGAGGACGGTGAAATTGCTCTCACTGGGCTCGGGGCCTCTGTTCTGCAGGTCGCGCCAACCTTGGGCGTCGATCTGTCCCGCTACCACACGAGGGCTGTTTCGCGTGGCTAAACAACGAGGGGCCGCTGCTGCTGCCGCCGCCGCTGGTTGCTGCTGCTGTTGCCTCTTGGCTCCTGCTGCTGCCCCTTCTTCCTCCTCCTCCCCCTCCTCCTCCTCCTCCTCCTCCTCCTCCTCCTCCTCCTCCTCCTCCTCCTCCTCCTCCTCCTCCCCCTCCGCCTCCTCTCACTCCAAGGGCCTGCGGGGCAGTCGTCGCCGCGGCAGCGTGGAGAAGTCTGAGGGCACGGTGCTCTGGCAACCCCTCCCCGCCCCTTCCCCCTCCCTTCCTTCCCTCGCCCCCTTCTGGCCCAGGGGAGAGGGGCGACCGGGCGGACGACGACGCCCAGCGCTACCAGGCTCAAGATCGACGTGCCCACATTCGTTCGGCTCCTGGCCCGCGCGCCCCGCCGGGCGCATGGCCCCGCGCCTGCATAGGTGCGCGCCGGTGCGCTCCCCGCCGCGGGTCCTTCACGGCAAGCTCAAGACCCAGGGCCGCCGGGAGCAGGCCCGTCAGGCGCCCGCGCCCCGCGCCGCCGCCGCTGCGGCAGCGCTCCAGGCCCCGTCGGGCCCCGCTCTGGCAACCGCGCGGGTTGTGTTGCCGGTCGCCCAGGGGCTTTCCGAGGCCCCAGGCTGCGCCGGGGGGGGTCCCGCTGGGCAGTCTTGCGCCGCTGTGCCCGGGGGCAGCGGCAGCGCGCTCGGCTGCCCGCGTGCTGCTGCAACTCCCCGCGGGGTCCAGGCCACTGCTTGTGGTGCTCCGCGTGTGCTTGGCCCCGCTGAGGCCTGGTCGTCGTATTGGGGCGTGGTGGACAGCTTGCGCGGTGCTGCCACCAGACAGAACGTCGACATGATGACGGCGCTGAGCCGGGACAGGGGGTGCTCTTTCAGGCACCCAGATGGCGCCCCGCCCCGCGTGGTGCTGCAGGCCATGAGCGAAGCTCGTGCTCAAGGTGCGGACCTGCTCCGGCTGGCCGACACAGTTGCTGAGAGCCGGTTTCTGTGCAAAACGGTACCGTCTACACTAGTTACATACGCGTCGCATCTGCGTATGGTTGCATGGGCTTCCGAGCTCTTGGGTGAGCCCCCGCTGGGGTGCAGTGTGCAGCACATTCGCCGCGTCGCGGCGGTGTGTGCGTGCGCGTCAACGCAGCGTGGTTGGTTGAGCGCGTGGGCCCTGGCGCACCAGGTGGCCGGCGTGCCGTGGCAGGGTGACCAAGATGTCATTTTGAAAGGCATCAGGCTCGGCACCGCGAAGTGCCGGACGCCCAGACTGCCGAGGCAGAAGGTTGATCGCCGGCTTTTGCGGCGTTTGCTCCGCCATGCGTTGGCGCACCAGCGACAGTGGTGGTGCATCATCGCCGTCTTGGCATACAACTTTCTGTTGCGGATGCCCTCTGAGTTGTTCGCGCAGTGCAAGCGTGATCTTGTACAGGTCGCTGGGGGGCGTTTTATCTATGGCCCCATCCGGCGAAAGCAGCGGGTGGATCTGTGCACCCTTCATGCTTTTTGTTTGTGCGGCACGGACGAGGGCATTTGTTTGCACACTTGGCTTCCTGTGTGGGACCATGCGATCGCAGCTGGGGGCCCTCCGTTTGGCGGGTATACGCCTGCGACGTGGACGGCCGAATTCCGGCGCCACTTGCAAGCCGTCGGGGTCGCCAGCCCCGAGGTGTGGTTTGGGCGCGATGTCCGGCGCGGAGCTGCGAGCGACGTCTTTGCGGCCTCCGGAGTCGAAGCCATGCTTTCCCGTGGTGGCTGGCGCTCTGTCACGTCCGCGCGACCGTACGTGTCGGGCGACGAAGTTGCAGTTGGCCTGCTCGCGCAAGGGGTCATCGATGATTCGGGCCCCGAGAATTGAGCGCGGCCACGTGGGCGCGCTTGCCCGCTGCACCGTGGCCACCCCCCCTTTTCCGTTCCATTGGCATTGGGGCCGGGGTGTGTCCTCGTGTGCGCGACTTGGCCAATGAAGAAAAGAACGCGTAGGAGGGGAATAGGAGCAGGAGCTAACGCGGATTCACAAATGTGAAGCGTAGTTAGTCTCTCTGCACCCTCCCTCCGCACTTGCTTGCATCCGTCTCACTTCCCCCTCTGCCCCCTTGTCTTCTCCGCAGCCTTTTGGGTCACAGGGGGGACCGCTTGTCCCGCCCTCCCACCCTCTTTTTCCCTCCGGCGCCGCTGGCCGGGGTGGGGCCGGGGTGTGTCCTCGTGTGCGCGACTTGGCCAATGAAGAAAAGAACGCGTAGGAGGGGAATAGGAGCAGGAGCTAACAGCCTGGTGACAATTTGTCTACCATTTTTCGGCCATGTTTGAGTTTTGATTGGGACTATCTTTCATCTTTCTGCCAAAATCCGCCTGTAGGAGGACATGCCCGACCTAAGCCTTGTGGGGGGAAGGGGAGGCCTCCTCAGGTCATTGAGGATACAAGAACCTCGAACCCTAAGAACACGATGAAGACGTAGCCTCACTGAGGTCCCCGTCTTCGCATTCGGGATAATGATTCTGGGCGGTTTGGTTGGATACACCTGCAGAAAAGTCCCCCTATCCCTAATTTTCCTGGCCCTTCTAACCTAGGTCCCCTCCCAAAGGGTTAGGGGTCCTTGTTTGCTCAATCATTTTGGATTATTTTCCCAGATTTTTGGGACAATTTTTGATTTTTCTTTCAAAATCCGCCTGTAGGAGGACATGCCCGACCTAAGAGTTGTGGGGGGAGGGGGGGAGCCTTGAGATCATGGTGTCTCATTTTTTTCGAGCCCGGCGTTTTCGTTTTTTTTCTGACCCCGGGGCTCTCACATATCGATCTGGCTCGAAACTGATGCAGAAGGATGTGGTCCAGGGTCTCGGGCTCCGGGCGTGATTTTTTTTTTTTTTTCGATGTGGCAGTTTTTTCGGCGCGTCGGATCTCAGGGAGGCGCCTCAGGGGCACCCCTGCCTCTGAAGAACGGGCGCGGGCCTGATCTCGAGGTGTCGGGCTGGCGCCTTCGTCTGTCACCACCCACCAAACCACCCCAACCCAACCCGAAGGCTCAGATTTACCTTCGATTTCCAGTGGGGGGCTCGGGAAACATCGAAAAAACACATGTGGAACCCTTACCCCCCCCCAACCCGAAATTCGGGTCTTCGGGTTGGGGTGGGGTGGTCTGGTAGGTAGTCAGTCCGAGAAGCAGCCACCTTCTAAGGAGCCTCCCCCCCGCCCCCTGCCCCCCCGTGCGCGCCGCCCAGGTGGGCGCGGGCCCGTCCTGCGCGGGGGCGTCCAAGGGAGGGGGGGTCCCAGACGTCAGCGTCTCGGGGAGCTCGATTGTGTCTAGAATGAGAGGGTCTCGAGGAGCTCGAGCCGGATGTGTTCCCTGGTTTTGTGAGGAGTGTGTGTGTGTATATATATATGTGTGTGTGTACATGTGTGTGTGTGTGTGTGTGTGTCTAGTCTTCCCAGATGGGGTCGGAGTAGATGGCGTCGGAGGATCGCGCCGTGTCGCCGAGGTATCGCCGATGCATCGGCGATGCGGCTCGATGTGGAGCCTGATCTTTTCCGCGCGGACGCTGCCGCTGCATCGCCGACGTCGCCGATGTATCGCCGATGCGTCGACGATGCATCGGCGATGCATCGGCGGTGCGGCGCGATCCTCCGACGCCAGCTGCTCCGACCCCATCCGGGAGGCCTCCGGTGTGAGGGGCGAGGTCCCGGACAGGAGCGGGGTGCCAGACGGCAGGCTTCTGGCGATCGTCGGCCTCGGGGGGCCGGGCCCCCCTGGGGCCTTGGCACAAACGACTCAGGATGAGAAGCCGGCCCCGAGGGAAGGGTCGGGACGTCCGGGCCCTGACGCGCGCAGCAGCGCAGCACCAGACATTGCCATCATTTGTCGTCGTCATCGTCATCGTCGTCATCGTCGTTATCGTCGTTGTCATTGTCATGGTTGTCGTCGTCGTCGTCGTCGTCGTCGTCGTCGTCGTCGTCCTCGTCATCGTCATCGTTGTCGTCGTCGTCGTCGTCGTCGTTGCCGTCGTCATCATCGACGTCCAGGGACCCCGTGTACAAAAACTCAAGACATCGCATGTCTGGGGCCTGGTGTGTGGGTGTGTGTGGGTATCAGGGCCGGGGCCACGAGATCTCCCAGACTTCGTGGCCCCCTGTGCTTCGTCTTCGTCTTCGTCTTCTTCTTCTTCTTCTTCATCTTCTTCTTCTTATTCTTATTCGTCGTCGTCCTCGTCTTCTTCTTTTCTTCTTTTTCTTCTTTCCATGCGCCCCCTGGCGCCCCTCCTCTCGTCCGCGCACGTGCCTGTTGCCGTGATGCGCTGACCCCCTCCCCTCTTTGCCCGGACCCCCCGCCCTCTTCGGCGCGCCCGGGCCTGCGCTTCGGCGCGGTGGCCGACGTGCAGTACGCGGACGTGGAGGACGCCTGGAACTTCGCTGGCACCCAGAGGTCGAACAGGGGATCGACTGCAGACAACACTTCAGCGCCCCAGAGTTATTTTTTCCGTCGAATCAATGGAAAAGACGTATAATGCTGGCACATCTACGAACATTCGTCGTTTTTTTCAGAGGATTCGGCGGGAATCTTAATTTTGGGGCAAACCAATTTTGCAGTCGATCCTCTACTCGAAGAGGAGGGGGTACCGCGGGGCGCTGGACAGCCTCAGGCTGGCGGTCAGAGACTGGCGGCGGCAGAAGGATCGTCTGGACTTCGTGGCCGACATGGGCGACATCATCGACCAGCAGTGCGAGGCCAGGGGCGACTCCCACGAGAGCCTCGCCAGGGTCCTGCGGGAGTGGGAGCCGCTGAACGACGGCGTGCCGGTGCGGATAGAGAGGCTGGTCGGGAACCACGAGCTCTACAACTTCAGCAGGGAGGAGGCCGCGAGGCTCATCCCAGGGATCTTCCCCTGGTACCGCAGCTTCCGCCCCAGGCCACGCGCGGCGAACGTGTCCCCGCGCCCACGCCCCCGCGGCCTGGACTCCGGGGGCGCGACCCCGCGGCTGCGCGGTCGCACGGCCGCGCTCCGAGCGGGGCGCCCGCGGAGGGAGCGCCCCGTGAGCTGCCCGCGGGGTCGCGGCCCAGAGGCCCGGGCCCGCGCGCAGTCGGGGGTGAGTTTTTTTGTTTATACAAAACATATATATATACAACATATATATACAATATATATACAATATATATATATACACAATATATGTACATCCTATATACATTATATATATATGTATATACATTACACATATATATATGTATGTATGTATGTATATATATATATATATATATATAGATATCTTTTTTTTTCATGTGCCCACGGCCAGGCCCGGCTGGCGAGTCGTCGCGCTGGACCCCTACGACCTGAACGTGATCGAGCGCGGGCGCGCGGCCGCGGTGGAGCGGGGGCTGGCCTACCTGGAGCGCGGGGCCCCCCCGTGAGCGGTGTGGCGGCCGCCCCGCGCGCCGAGTCCAGGGGGGGGGGGCTCGGGGCCGCCGCGCGGCTCGCGTCGTGCTCCGGGGGCGCCTCTCGGGAGACTGTCAGGAGGGAGAAAACACAGGCACAATTGATCGTCGATTCCCCGGAAAATATGGGACAGTATGGGAAGTGGGGGGGAAGACAAGAACTTTGAAAATATGGGGAAATACGGGGAATCGTTTTACTTGTGTGTATTTATTTGTGTGTCTCAGGGCCCCTTCAGACTGGGGCGCCCAGGGTCCCAGGACCGTGCGGTGACCGGCGGCGCGGTGAGGTCTCGTGGGACTTTTCGGGGTCGCCGCGCGGTCCGCCACCACACGGTTTCCGAATCCCGACGTCGTGATTTTTTTCCCACTGTGTGGGCCCCCGGAGGGCGGGAGCCCATCCCCAGGATGGGTCTTCTTTGTCCCGAGCAGTTTTGTGATGGTCCCGGGGCCCAGCGAGGGCCTCCAGAGGTGGAGAATAGCAAAGACCCTTCGTCGTGATTTTTTCGTGCTCCGAGGTGGTCTGTGGATTTCGAGGTCACAACGTGGTTCGTTGCCACACATCGTTGAGTGGTATCCGGCCCCGAACCAAACCTCCAGATCGGGAGGGGAGGTCGTCGCGGCGATCGCGGCGGCCACAAGTCGTGGCAACTGCCAAGGAGTGGCATGCCCCTTCCCAGCTCCCCCCCCGCTCTGCGACGCAGGTGTGGCCCGCCATGAGCAATGTCGCAACCGAGAGTTGTCCGTTTACGTCCAACATGAGCCGTTATATTTCTTTGGTCGGGGGTCGATGATGACGCAGGTTCGCCTTAAATGTGCCCAGGACGTTTTTTTGGCGTTTTTCAGCTCGGAGTCTTGGAAACCATTTTTTTAGCGCTTTCAGGTCTCAACCAACAAACTAAAAGCGCAAAACAAATGATGCGTTGTTTTAGCGTTTTCAAGCATTGTTTTAGCGCTTTCTGCCTGACAACGCAAAAACAGCAGAACAACGCCAAAACAACTGCCCTAAGAACGCTAACAACAAACGTGGCGTTTTTTAAAGCGTTTTCAGCCTGTCCAGCGACCAACCCGTCTCGGGAAGCCCCGAGGAGCAGCACAACCCGAACGACCTGCGGGCCCCCCGCGGCACCGTGGACGCCGGGGCCGGCCTCGAGGGCCTGCAGCGCCGCTTCATGCCCATTTCGGCGGCCACGAGGGGTGTGGTTACGGCAACTACGAGTGGGGGCGCTCGTGAAGGAATGTGCCCCAGGGGCTTCAGAGACCCCGCATCTGAGGAGAGCGGCAGTGGTATCCATGGCCAAACCACAGCATCGGAGCTCCACTGGCCTGGATTCCCTGTTCAGTCCACGTCACCCCATCACACTACTACTACTACTACTACTACTACTACTACTACTACTACTACTACTACTACTACTACTACTACTACTACTACTACTACTACTACTACTACTACTACTACTACTACTACTACTACTACTACTACTACTACTACTACTACTACTACTACTACTACTACTGCTACTACTACTACTACTACTACTACTACGACTACGACTACGACTACGACTACTACTACTACTACGACTACTACGACACTACTACTACTACTACTACTACTACTACTACTACTACTACTACTACTACTACTACTACTACTACTACTACTACTACTACTACTACTACTACTACTACTACTACTACTACTATTGCTAACTACTACTACTACTACAACTACTACTACCCTACTACTACTACTACTACTACTACTCTACTGCTACTGCTACTACTACTACTACTACACTACACTACACTACACTACACTACACTACACTACACTACACTACACTACACTACACTACACTACACTACACTACACTACACTACACTACACTACACTACACTACACTACACTCCAACAACTACTACTACTACTGCTGCTGCTACTGCTACTGCTACTGCTACTGCTACTGCTACTGCTACTGCTCCTGCTACTGCTACTGCTACTACTACTACTACTACTACTACTACTACTACTACTACTACTACTACTACTACTACTACTACTACTACTCTTACTACTACTACTATTACTACTACTTCTACTGCTGCTGCTGCTGCTGCTACTAACTACTACTACTACTACTACTACTACTACTACTACTACTACTACTACTACTACGACTACGGCTACGACTACGACTACGACTACGACTACGACTACGACTACGACTACGACTACGACTACGACTACGACTACGACTACTGGTACTACTACTACTACTACTACTACTACTACTATCCTACTACTACTACTACCTACTACTACTACACTACTACTTCTAAACTAACCTACTACTACTACTACTCCTACTACTATTGCTAACGACTACTACTACTACAACTACTACTACACTACTTACTACTACTACTACTACTACTGCTTACTGCTACTGCTACTGCTTACTGCTACTCTACTACCTACTACCCCTACACTAACACTACACTACCATTACAACCTACCTACACTACACTACACTACACTACGCTACACTACACTACCTACCTGCATACACTAACACTACACTAACACTACACTACACTACAACTACACTACACTACCTACTCTACTAACTAACTACTACGACTACTCCTACTACTACTACTAACTAATACTACTACTACTACTACACTACCTACACTAACCTACACCTACACCTACACTACCCAACACTACACAACACTAACACACTCACTTACACTAACACTACACTACCTACCTACTCTACTACTACTAACTAATACCTACTACGACTACTACTCTACTACTCCTACTCCTACTCCTACTCTACTACTACTACTACTACTACTACTACTACTACTACTACTACTACTCCTATCCTTATTCCTTATTAAAATATACTCCTACTCCCCCCTCAGGCCGGCCATTAGGGGCCGCATCCGGGTGGTCCCATCCTAACC